GCGCCGACCATGTTGCGTTGGTGGATGTAGTCAAACGCTTTGGCGGGGGTGTAGGGCCAGGGGGCTTCGACGTCGTCGACGACGAACTGGCAGTTTGGGGCGGTCCTGCATCCCGAGTTAGTCTGTTCGTGTCAAGGGGAGGTCGCATAAGTGATGAGCATACCAATACGGCTGGATCGGACTGAGGTCGATCCCCAAGACCTCCGCACCGGGAAACTCATCCGCCATATCGAGGGCCCAGATACCGGTACCGGTTCCGATATCCAGGACACGCTGCGGCGAGTCGATAGGCGCCTTGTGCAGACTCCCACCCAGCATCAACCGAAAGATATGATGCACCATGTCTAGCCGATCCTGCTCGGCATCGTCATTCGGAAATAGGTACTCCCCCTCGCGGAACTTGTGGTATCGCCGGCCGTTTTCATACACATAATCCCTCACACTGGAAGACAGCGACGTCGTCAGCGACGCGATGTCGTCCTCGGAGATAGCGGAGTCGGTGTCCGTCGTGAAACCCTCATCGGCTTCTATGTCGCGTCCTTGGGCGGGGACGGCTGCCTCAACGGGGTTGGTATGGGGGGTCCAATGGTCGGCCATATTGGAATTTCAACAATAGTAGGGATGGAGTGGACATGATGATCCGTTACAGACGACGTGGTGGGGAGTGAGTTGGCCCTGGCCAAGACTTGTGGGCGTAAACTTCATGCTAACTCCATACTAGTCCGTGCTAACGATTGAATACGATCTTCTATTGATTGTTGACGATTTTTGGTCCCCGCACTTGGGTCGGAAGGGGTTTATCCGCCTCCAATCGAATCCTTGTTGGGAGAAGCTTCACATCTCCATATTGATCAATGTATCCCAAGGACGACTGAGGAATCTTCGTGTGGATTGTAAATGATGTGGGTTTCAAGCCCGGACAAGCCACAAAATTGACCGACACAGCAATATTTGCATGGCGTTGATCACCCTGTGGATACCTTATGTACTCTATCTGCAAGCTGACGCTGCCACTGCATAGTCGATCATACACTCACTCTACAAGACATACCCAGCATCTACATTCCATGGCTTGCTGAGCCCGTTCAGTTACTATTTAGACGCCCTGCATCAGCTACGGCAAGAGTGGATGGTCAAGAGCAAGATACAAACAAATGAGCCGAACAAATTCTCTCGTGATGACATGCGCATGTGCTCTCAAATGATCTCTACTAGAATGGTCTCTGTATAATACACGTCCTTGCTACGCTGACTGGCAATTTACTCCTATTGCCAGAACTAAGCATATCTCGGCCATCTCAATCGCGTTGTTTATTATAGGATATACCAGATGGCAAATGCCTGGTAAGGTTTCAATGATCGCTGTAGGCCAGTTGCCACATGCCAACGTGGTCAAGTGTCCTCAGAATGCCGGTTTTTCTATCGGGTTGCGACAGCTTAAAAAGCCCTTAGCACTGCGAACCCTGACACAATCCCAACCCCTCAACGAGGATTCAAAGGGTCTCCTGATTCGCCTATTCTGATTAGAGTGAAAACGACTATGTGAAGCTTCGAATTCCCTTTATTCAACTAATTTCAACTAATTCGATAGAAAGAACGCGGTCAGGGATCGTGATCGGCTTCAAGGAAAGACTCTCAAGGGAAAAACAAGGGATTGAAAGGGAGTCAACAAATTGGCTCTTCCTTAGGAAGACGGTGACGACGGCTCCTTCCCCTGCTGGCAGCACTCTAAGTGTTTTTGATTGAGATAGTTATCCTGGATCATAGAATCCCAGCTCAAAACCAAACTGGAAACCTAAGATGCCGTTGGTCAGAAAGTAGTCAATCCAGAAGTATACTTTAGAAAACCTACCAGAATGCCCCAAGTGACAAACAAAGCTTCCGCTATGTTGGGAATCTACTAAAGAAACTTGCCTCTAAGAGACTTTCAGCTCACTAGAAGGGGAGACTTTCGTTGGATTTCTTGTCGCGTTTGTCTTCTTTGGTGAGGCTTGTAGGAGTATACGCGTCTCAAATATCCACATGCCAGATGTTGACATTGCTGATGTCGTGTGGAAAAGGGTTGGCTGGGACAAAGCAAAGCAGGCTTCGAAAAAGGTGTGCTGAGGGTTTAAGAGTGGCTGTATGCAAAGCTGGGGTAGACGACAGGCTGAGTTGGCCTGTAAGCTATGAGATTCAATCATGGTCTCATTTCAAATTCCACAAAACGCAGAAATTAGTGTGTCCTCGCCAGAATTACGCCTTGACCACGCCATGAGATGGTTTAGCAGTCTGAGCCGGGGTCGCTTATCTGAGTTTGAAAATTTTCGGTCTTCAATCCATACATGGAGTAAAAGATGCTGGGTTATCTCTCGAGGCGTCCAACCCCTATGTTGCTGTTCCACAGTGGAAGGCAATAGTAACTGTCTCTGAACATCGGCAAATGATGATTGCAAGATAAACGTTTTCTAATCAATCCAAAATTGATCGAAATACTTTGGCGCCAACAGCGCCAGCCCGGCGAGGCGGACGGCCCAAACGTCGTTGGCGAGGTGCTGGTACTCTTCGGCTATCTATACCTCATTTCATTAGCCCACATCACCAAAACGGAAGTACCATGTATGAACGAGGAGCAAAACCAACTGAATTGGGTACGCCGTTACGTTCTCGGCTTCTGCTGGGGATATCAGTCATATCCAGCTTGATGAAGCGCCGTTCGGCTTTATAATGCGGAAATTGTGGAGTCCTTTGCCGCCGTGTTGCCACAGGAGCACCAGATACCCGCAGAAATCGACGCCTTTGTTGAACATCGGGGTTGCGGTCAAGTACCACATGGAGTCCGGCTGCAACACCCGAATAGCATGGTTGAAGGAGGACGACAGATTCTTTACAAAGTGACCATCATCACATATAACTCGACTGAAGTCTTTTCGGTACCCTTCCACAATGCAAAGAGCACCGAGATGTCCGTTTGTGAGGCAGAATATATAGTCTCTGGCATGACAATGCGGTGAAAGATCAGGCAGCGTATTGCTGCAAGAGCTGGCCTCATCTTGATAAGAAGATTGTGACTTTGACAGTCATTGATCTCTAGAAACGATCTTCACAGATGTTGTCAGTTTCGTCATTGGATCGGAATACAGTCAGCTTCCCAAAGCACTTACTATGAAATCCATAGGAATAGGTCATCCCCTTCGTATTCCTTGATCTTCACTTCTAGGCACGAACAATATGAGGCTCTCAATCTCATTCTCTATCAATCTCATTTTCTATCAATCCCATGAGCCGGGGACACTCGTGGGCCGGACGCTTCAGAATAATATGCACGAAAGACAGACGATAGACTTTGAGTGCGTTTGCAAAAGCATACTGATGTCCGGAGTATGCAGCAGTCGTGGTCCAAGCTGCCGAATAAAGCAAGCTCAAAACATCCTTGCTCTTCGATGTCTCCGTTCAGTGAAGAAATAATAGTATAGGCAAATTTATATCGCCTTTCAGCAACATTCGAGGGGCTCAGCTGGAAAATAGCAGTCATGACCTTTGCTAAGCCAGATGGTGCAAGACTAACGAGCACAATGCAGAGGTTGAGGCCAAATTGCAGAACCGGATGATATGATGCAGGGCTCTTCAGCTTGTAAAATTCTCCCATAGTTCTGTCCGCCACTTCGATGAGCGCAATGCTACTACCAAGATTACACTCTGGTTCCTTGGTAATTGTTTCCGCACGGATGTGGATGATTCTTTGATCTCAGAAGAATAAACATCTTGATGGGATATCGATGCTAGATGATCTCTTTCTGGCTTCCGGGCTCATAACCTGATAGCCACTGCATTAGAAGTCCGGTTCGGTATGTCGGGTCGGGGTCGATATGACTGATATCCCATTATAAGATATATAAAAAGGCCGAGCATTTGGGTCTACAACATATGATAGGAGACTCTGCACGTCATTGTGTCATGTTATATAGTATGATTAACTCTGTATGTCAAAAATGAAGGACAAAAATGAGATTGTTCCCAGGAATAAGTCAGAAGTGGGGGGGTGCTGGATATATAGCTTTTTCTGCCACAGTTCTCTATTATCACTCATTCACGGCGTTTGTAGAGTGACAGTATATTTTTGCTTCATACAGCATGGCTCCATGGGTGAAAGAGGAGCATGGATTCGAAACATAGCTTCCATTGCCTTTTACTTTACTGGTATATGTTCAATGATTAGTAAATAACGAATAAAGGAATGTGATTGTTAAATTCCTGCTTGAGCTATCATTTGGTGTTTCACATCTTAAATACAAAGGACTGTAACTTGTTTGCAATGTCAATGAAGATATTGATCAGTGACTGATAGTAGATACTTCACGTATATTGAGCAAAGGCTCTAGCCCTAAGGAAGCCATACTGCTGCCTGGAGGCTGGCGCGTGTCTCATTTTCCCCTGAAGAATAGAAACAATGCAAGTAAGTGTCTGCAGAGAATATATCGCGCTACTGTTCTTCAGGAACTATGCATGATAATTGCAATAGGTCTCTGTAATCCTGCTTTCCCACACCACTTTGTACAATTACAATAAAATATATCAAAATCAAATCCATGCAAGGACATGCACACCGAAAAGGAGGTTCGTCACTGATCTCATACATCCCCCTCGCATTTCAACTAGCCATCAGTTGACGTAGATTATCTTCGCCACGGCAAGAACAGACTTCTGATCATAGACTAAGTGTCTTCGAGAATCAATTAAGATTCATTGGCAATTAATAAAAAAGATCACATGGTCAGCTTTGGTGGAATGTAGCTGAAGCCCGAAACAATCCGCGCTTGCATTCCTGGTTGTCGTTGTTACTGCCCGAAGTCGACCGTGGTTCAAACTCGGCACAACCGTTGTCGCAGCCCAAGAGACTGGATCCCCAGTTGTAGCAACATGTGGAAATATTATGAAAAGAAGTCAGTCCTAGTGACCGGTGGATCTGGGTTTTTGGGCACGGCTATTGTCCATCGCCTTCTCACTAGCACTTCGACATCATGTCTCTACTTGGTCTGTCGCGGAGGTATTGAGTAAGTGCTCGTATGAAGTAAAAAGCCAGAGGCTTGAACTTTTACTGATTCATCTTGCAGCCAGCTTCACGCTAAGTGGAAGGAATGGTTATCTCCTGATGCGGTCGACCAGCTCTGCAGTAGCGACCGGATTGTTATACTCCATGGCGACATCCTTCTACCAAATTTGGGGCTGACTGGCTTGGAGCTGGATAATGTTCGAAATGACATCAATATTATTATTCATGCGGCGTCATCTATCAATCTCATAAAGCCACTGCATCAGTTATCTGGCACAATTATCGAGGCCAGTAACATGGTGGCTGACCTGGCCTTGACATGTGGAAGGATGGACCGTTTCGTCTACGTCTCCACTGCATTTGCAAACACGCACTACTACGCCCGATGTGACGAGATTGACGTGAAAATCAACGAAGCCATATATCCTCTCCAGCACCAATGCTCCGTCCTTGACGAGCTAGAGGAAGTGCGAAAGCGCGGCACAAGCCGAGCATATGAGGCGGAGAGTTTCCCCTGGGCCTACGCATATGCAAAGCACCTCACGGAGAGGCTACTCTATTACAAGTTCAATGAAAACGCGTCCGTGGAAAAGCTCCTCGTTATCCGTCCATCTGTGATCGGTCCGTCACAGGCGCTGCCATTCCCCGGCTACAACATGCCTCTGTCATCCCCATGCACAGTATGTGTAGCTGGACTAGCGCTCACCCCACTCCGCAAAATCAAAATAGCTACGAAGATGAGTTATCCAGACCTGGATACACACCAAGACGAGGTCCCAGTGGACGTGGTCGTGGATCGCCTTCTCTGTCATCTGGCGCTGGGCACGCATGGGTGCATCCACGCGGTCAGCGGTGTTAGGGCGCGGACGCAGTTCGAGCCATGGCGGAAGGTGTTGACGAAGATCCGCCGGATCCCTTGGGAAGTGCAGCCTGAGTGGGTGAAGGGCGATTGGAAGTCTCCTGATCAGCATCATCTGGCTCGGCTTTATGCCATTTTGGGAACGTCTTTTGCCTTCTCGGAAGACCGGACACTTGCCATTTACGAAAAGCATACGGAGATCAAGGACTTGGGTTTGCAGCTGTTTACGGACATTGACATGAGTGAGAGTTTTCTGTCCCGGGCCCGAGGGATGCGCTATGTGATGGATCGGCTTGCCAAAAGGAGTTGGTTGGTCTGGTTGATAGTCGTTATCTTTTATTCTGGTTTTGGGAAGGCTCCGCCCCCTGGCCGTCTGAAGGACTCAAAGACTGTTGAGGGGGTACAGGATTCAACTTGAGAATTCTATATATTGCTATGTTAAGCCTCGGAGTTTCCAGCTTAGATTCCTCGCAGGTCATCTTGGTGGCCGACTAAGGGCTGAACGGGGCAAAAAGGTATGATGGACGTAAGGAAGTATGACTATTGCTTCCTTTTTTCCTTCTTTCCTTCTCCGCCTTTCTTTTTCCTGGGAGGAAGGAGGAGGGAAAGCCCTCACTCTTTCCAGTTCAAGGATAAGCTCAAAATAACATTAGAAGACAATACAAATCGATTGAATAGCTACCATAATACTAATAGCACTCATAACATCCTATACTCTGACATACAACCCATACTCACCTCAACCAGTGTATAACTCAAGCCTTTTGAATATACCGGTCGAAAATCTCCCCAATCGTCTTAGCACTCTGCTTAGGTATCCTCTTCTGATCATTCTCATAGTCGACATAAGTGACGCCAAACCGGGTCTCATAGCCCTCGGCCCACTCAAAGTTACTATCCAGTCATTAGTTTAGAGCCCATTTCAAACCAAAGAGGGTAGATGACTCACTCTAGCAAGCTCCACGCCATGTAAGCGCGCACATTCACCCCATCAAGCGTATACGCATCAGCCATAGCATCAATATAATCGCGGAAATACTGCGTGCGGAACTCATCCTCCAGCAGCTTGTCCAGCGGGAGATCATTCTCGCCCTTCAAGCTAGTTCCGTTCTCCGTGACGTAGATCTTGGGACGACCATACCGATCACTCAGCCACTTCAGCAGTTTGCGGAACCCGATGGCAGACGGGCGCAGCCACGGCGACTGCGTCTCGGGGCCGACCCACTCGCCCTTCTTGTTGGAGAGGAGGATCTCGAGGTTACCCGCTGTGTCGGTGGGGTCGGGCTCGCCGGTGAGGGCCTTGATGTAGTTCGCGCAGTAGTGGTTCATGCCGTAGAAGTCGTTGCTACCGTGGACGAGGGCGATGTCTTCGGGGGACCAGGTGGGCAGGCGGTCGCCTAGCTGCTTGACCATGCTGTCGGGGTATTTGCCGTGGTAGATGGGGTCCGCGAACCAGGAGATGGCGAACTCGATCTTCCGGTCGCAGGCTTCGACGTCGGCTGGGTTCTCGGGGTCCCAGGGCTCAGCCCAGTCGCCTGTTGATCGTGTATTAGCTTCTTGTAGACAGCCATGGCTGGAGTGAGGGAGGGACTGTACCGTTGAGAGTGATTCCAATCTCCCCACCATCCCTCGCCTTGAACTCATCCCGGTAAATCTTCACCGCAGCCCCATGAGCAACAAGCAAACTATGACCCACAGTCCAGCACTCGCGCGAACCATCCCCGACAGCGCTCTTGGTGCGATCACTCGTGCGCCCAGGAGCGAACTGTCCCACATTGTACCCAAGAACACTGCTGCACCAGGGCTCATTGAAAGTAATCCAGTACTTGACTCTGTCGCCCATAGCGTCAAAGACCACACGAGCGTAGCGGGCAAAATCAGCGACGAACTCCTCCTTGTTCAGGAGACCGCCGTAGCGCTTGTCCAGCTCATCGGGCAGGTCCCAGTGGAAGAGAGTGACCAAGGGCTTGATGCCCGCCTCGAGGAGATCATCTACGAACTTGACGTAGTGCTGCAGACCCTTTTGGTTGATGGGGTCGTTGCGGCCTCCGAGGGGGATGACGCGGGACCTGCGTTTGTAGTAATTAGTCGACGACAGTCCGCAGAAATGGAGTAGGGACATGAACGTAATCTACCATGAGATAGAGAAGCGGTATGCTTGCGCACCGCATGTCTTCAACAGGGCAATGTCCTCGTGGGTGCGGTGGTACGAGTCGCAGGCTACGTCGCCCGTCGCGCCGCCGGCGATCTTGCCTGGGATTTTGCAGAATGTGTCCCAAATGGATGGACCTCGGCCATCCTCGCTCACCGCGCCTTCAATCTGGTAGCTGTGTTGGAATCGTCAGTTGCCAGTGACGAAGACCTGTGTTTCAGGTAAACTGCGTAATGATATGGTCTTACCTGGCTGTTGCGAAACCCCAGAGGAAATCGGGCGGGAGAGTTGATGTAGAGCCCATGATTGTGATTTTGTATGAGACGTGCAAAATGTCTTCTGTTTAGTTAATAGAATATGAAACAGTAGACTTAGAACTGAAGATTGATTTCTATTTTCCCGGGGGAGGGGTGGTTTAAATGCCTTCAGCTCACCGGAGCTTTCTCCGCAGATTCCAGCGATTGAGGGGCAAGTGGGGGATGAGCCCACCACGACAGGCTCCCTCTTGGGTATGGAACCACTTGATCCAACCACCGAACACCATTTAGGAGGCCGTTCTGGGGGGTTGAAGCGAGCATGGATCGCAAGTGGTGTGGAATCCCAAGACAAAAGCGCATTCTGCGGGGCCAAAGGAGCGGCTCGACGGGCCGATGTCCGGTTTAGATTAGGCTAGTCTATTCCCTGTCGTTACTAGCGATCAGATAATTGAGGAGAGTGAATCAATATGTCTGAGAGTATGATATTGAATGCAATTGCATAAGTACAGCGAAGCAAATTATTTGCATAAAGTCACAAATTGGTCGCTTTGAAATTCCAGTAGTAGCCCAGCCGTCCGCCAACCATGCTCTCCCGTGAGAAATAGAGATCGTATGAACCAGATGAAGGAGATAGAATACAAACAAATCAGTAAGAAAGCGGGCATAAAGCAAAGAAAAGGGACTAAAACTAGATCAGTGCTGCCATGTCTTCCGACCAGTCATTAAACACTTTGAAAGGCTTGGGCACGAGCAGTGCTCATGATATCTCCATCCCGTCAATGTCATCACCGTCAAGGTCGTCAAGATCGTCAGTGGCGGTACCGCCAAGGGTCAATTGGGACCGTTTAGAGTCGCGAGCCGGACCCAGTCCGTCCACGCCCAAGCCTTCGGCCAGCTCTAACTCGGGCCCACCGACGATCCGGCCCTCCGTATCAACCACCTCGCACAACTCAATCAAGTTCTGTCGGCTGAGAGACTTGAACCCCTCAGTGCGCACGACCCGACCCCAGTGGCCAAGGCAGAATTGCGACGCGCGACGCATGAGCCATTCCTCATTGGTGCGTCGGGCACGTTCCCAGATAATGGCAGCGTTCTCCACGTCGAGTTCGCGACTCAGCCGGTTGACGCACAGGAGGCGCAGTTTGGGCATATCGTACAGATTCGCCATCACGAGCATCCCCGCCACATCGATGATATCTGAACAGTACTCTGGGTGCCCGGCAATGCTGTCCGTGTATAGATAGTACAAGAAAGCACGGACCACTGAGTAAGGCTCCGGAATGTGCAGCCGCTTGGAATGGTACTCGGCCATACGAGCAGAATAAAGCCGTTTAAAGTGGGGCCATCGCAACTGCAAGATGATACGATGCACGTGGATAGGTGGGGACGTATTCACGTTGGGTGGCAGGAAGCTGGGGGGATCGACGTTCGGCTCTTCCGTATAGTCATCGGGGCCCGGCTCCTCGTCCGGATTCGCAGTGATCGTGAAATCAGCCTCACTGCCAGACTCCGGTGGCTGGTCAAATACGGCCGAGAGATCCGTCCCAATGCTAGACAGCGACGACAGGCCCGGTCTTTCGGCGACGCGCACCCTTGCTTGGTCGGCCGCTACGGCAGCCATCTCGTCACCCAGCAGGCCGTAGCGTCGCAAATCAAGACAGAGAACTTCACTCATTGAGTTTTCGTCACTCGTTCCTGGAGTGCCCCCGACATCTAGGCTACATCCCAACAGCCACGCTTTCGTGCCGGTCGTATCGACTGTGCAGTAATGCCATCGAAAGCCGGGTTTGAAGATTTCCTGGCCATCTGCGAGCTTTTGCCAGCGTAGTGAATCGAGCTCTAAGGACGACAGATTACATTCGAACGTTCGCACTGTCTCCGAGGGAGTGATTAGGTCCAGCAAAACACCCGACGCGTAGGCCTGGAAGTGGGTCCCGGAAAAGAGAGAGGGTACATGGGCTCCAGACTTGAACCGAAGGCAGGAAATGGCCCCCGGAGCCATGACCTTGCGACGATTGGAATTGCGCACTTGAACACTTCCTGAGTTGGCGGCGTAGCTCCCGGACCGGCCGGGTAGCTGTTGGTTTGGACTACTAAACAATGCATCTGGGCTGTGAGTCATCCTGTTCGGGGTCGCGGGGGAATCCACGGTACCTTGCGAATCGGCCATTGAAAGAGACGGGACGCCTTTGAGGTCCAGCCACCAAATGTCGGTCGTGCGCTCCATGTCCGGGTCGAGTCCTCCAAAGATCCACAATCGGCCTCCCCACACCCAGGCGATATGGTCGAACCGGGCGGTAAATTTCCAGGAGCGAGACCAGGTCCAGGTTTTGAGATCCAGATAGCATATGTCGTCAAGGATGACGCTGTTCTCCCCCGTCACACCTCCGACGATAAAAAGCTTTTCGTCGTATATCACGGCAGCATGGCGAGCCCTCCCTCGCGGGACAGATCCACGAATTTCTGGTTGAGTCCACGTGGAGGTTGTGAGGTCGAGGATGACGACATCCGACAGGTATTCGCGATGTTCATTTTCACCTCCAAACACGATCAGCTTGTCTCCTTGGTATACGGTGGCCGTATGTCCTAGAAAGGTAAATCACACATGTCAGCACCACGGCTAGATGCCTCTTATTAGTCTTATCCGGAATTGACCAACCCATGCGAACGCCGGGAATATCTCCATAGTTATCCACCAGCTCCCACCGCCACGTCTTCAAATTTAATTTCAACACGTGGTTGTAAACTATTGGAGGAGATATTAGCACAAGAGACTGCTTCTAAACAACGCTACAAGCGAGAGGAGTCATTAGAAGACCTTCATCAGTGTACTGATCAAAACCGCCAAAGGCATAGATCTGATCGTTATCGCAATACGTCACTGAAGCATTGACCAGGCATGCGGGAACATGACCTTGGGCCTTCCGGATGGTCGGGCGGGAGTCTGCGCTGCCACGGCGACCGGAAGGACTCGCAGACATTAAGAATGTATCCTGCGAATTCGGGGTGGAGAGGGAAGTCATCGTCCAAGGGACCCTAGAGGGGCAGATTCAATAAAGGTGGGTCCACAGGAGCGTTACTATTCCGGGTCTCTAGTCGATGGGGTGGCAGACGGGTTGCCAGGCCATCAATATCAGTCTAGCGGTACCAGGGAAACCACAGAATGACCCGTCACGACTGCGGTTGACAAGACAGAGGGGACGAGAATAATTGCCTGTCACGATAGAATGTTATAGATCATATATGAATCCAATCCCACCCTTTCATGATCCAGACACTGCCACACTGTTCAAAGAGACAAAAGAGTGGGGATTTTGATGGTTCAGGAGGAAAAGAGAAAGAAAAACGCCAAGACCGATCGACCGCCGAAAAGGGAAGAGCCTCATGTCAGGTGGCGATCTAACCCGATCGGGAAGGGTGTTGTCGTATCTGCAGTAACCGTTGCCATGGGTGAAAGCACAATCTATATCCTGTATTTATTCCTCCTCCTTTTCGCTCTGCTTTTCCTTTTCCTTCTTCCTCATTATCCTCTTCTCTTTTCTCGGTTTATATGCTACTCTGTGCATTTCGATATCCATTGCAACTGTCTTAGTGCTTGCATCGAGTATCTTCACTGAGTCACATCGTCATCCTTGTCTGCTTTACCCAGCGTCCCTAAGAGACTGGATTCTCCTCGACGACTGGAACCAGCTCTTTTTTCTCTTCCTGATTGTGCTTTGTCTTCCGTAAATAGATACCAACATGGCGACTCCTTCCGTATCAACTCCCGTCAAGACCCATCACGGGATCTTCTCAACTAAAACCGCCGGTGGCCGCTTGCCCCTCACCCCCTCCCCGCGCACACGGGGCGACAGCGCCGCATCCAACCCTTCGAGCCCCTTCACCCCACCCTGCCAACCGGCGGAGGGGACGAAGGAAGACAAGCGCTCCGTCTACGGGGGAAATCTTTCCTCGTATTTCACCAAATCCATGGCAAAGGCCACCCGCGGCTACCGCGAATCTCCCAAGTCCAACATTGCTCGTGTCCGGAAGTCCCCGAAACACCTGGAGCTGGGTGTTTCGGAATGGCAATTGACGGGGACGGGTCCGACTCAGTCGCCCTCCAAGGAGCGACTCCGCAAAGACACCGCCAGCCGGAAAGAGCCGTCGACCCGCACAAGGAGTGGCAAGACGACCGTTCGGATCTCCCACAACGCGGCAGACAGATTCATCCCCAACCGCACGGCAAGCGAGGGACTGGCCACCGCCGGTACCGCTAAGCCTGAAGAGAACCAGCGACCCAAGACCAGCGGCAATGAGGGATCTACGGTTCTAGCTAGCGCCGCCAGTGCGTTCGACATTGGCGGTCGTGGAACCGACGACGACATCACTGCGGCTCTTGAGAACCTGGGCCTGGATGATACCGAAAGCTCGAAATCATACACTAAGCCGGCGCCCGATGCTGTTGCTTACGAATCTTCGCTGGCTGATGCTTGCGGAGTGAATCTGAACACACGCATCCTCGCTTTTAAGCCTCCTCCGCCAGAGTCGTCCAAGCCCATCGACTTGCGTGCGCAATACAATCGCCCCCTTAAATCCGTTAAAGCGCAGTCCGCACAGTTCCGCCGCAGAGTCCAGACGGCTCCCGAGAGGGTTCTGGATGCGCCTGGTCTCGTCGATGACTACTATCTTAATCTCTTGGATTGGAGCTCCGGCAACCAGGTCGCCATCGGCCTGGAGCGGAACGTCTACGTCTGGTCTGCAGAGTCGGGCACTGTCGACTGCTTGTTGGAGACCTCGCCGGACACCTACGTGACCAGCGTCAAGTGGAGCGGCGACGGCGCGTACGTCGGCGTGGGGCTGGGGACCGGTGAGGTCCAAATCTGGGACGTTGAGGAGGGTAGCAAGCTTCGCAGCATGTTCGGACACGACTCCCGCGTCGGTGTCATGGGCTGGTCGAAGCACACCCTGTCCACTGGTGCACGCAGCGGTCTCGTCTTCAACCACGATGTCCGCATTGCGGAGCACAAGGTCGCCGAGCTCGTCTCGCATACATCCGAAGTGTGCGGTCTCGAATGGAGATCCGACGGCGCCCAGCTGGCCACCGGTGGAAACGACAACCTCGTCAACATCTGGGATGCGCGCTCCCTGAGCGCTCCCAAGTTCACCAAGACCAACCACCGTGCGGCCGTCAAGGCCCTCAGCTGGTGCCCCTGGCAGATGAACCTGCTGGCCACCGGGGGTGGTTCGTACGACCGTCACATCCACTTCTGGAACACCACGACCGGCGCCCGGACCAACAGCATCGACACCGGCTCCCAGGTCACCAGCTTGCGGTGGAGCAACCACTACCGGGAGATCGTCAGCTCTAGCGGATTCCCCGACAACTCCTTGAGCATCTGGAGCTACCCGACTCTGGTGCGCAACGTGGAAATCCCCGCGCACGAGACCCGTGTCCTTCACAGCAGTCTCAGCCCGGACGGTCAGCTTCTGGCGACCGCGGCGGCGGATGAGAGCTTGAAATTCTGGAAGGTCTTTGAGCGCAAGCCTGGCCAGAGTGCCTCGGCATCCCGGGAAGGCGGTGTTGGTAGCAAGGCTCAGATGACCAAGTCCATGACCATCCGGTAGTGGACTTTTCTTTCTTTTCCCTTCCTTTTCTTATGTTTTCTTTTGTTTTCTTTTATCATCCTTTAATTTCGGGTTAATTGCTTGCGAGCATGGTTCTTTGGTGTTGGCATTGGGGGGTTTCCGGCGTTGTGTTCGAGCGACGCCACAGATATCCACTCTTTTGGGGTTTTGGCGTCCGAGCGGGCGGCGTTGTATGTATTTAGTTGATCGTATCTTGGTCGATATTCTTGAATAGAGCTTTTTACCATTGGTAACTACTGCTTTGACTCAGTCAACCCACGACCCTGACATTTCTGTTCTTGTTCTTCACTTGATCGTTTGAATTGATTACTGCATATGGATCACTGGACTCAGGCATCCAGAGTTTGGGTGAGGCGGGTGATGACTAAGCAGAGGGATCAAGACCGATTTCGCCCATTCTAGAGTGACCTTCACCTCAACAACGACCTGACCTGTCTCTTACTTCTTTGCTGGTTCACTGTCCCCCCCATATCGCTTGCCTTACGACGCTTTTCGGTCTTTACATTAGTTCCAGTTGTGTGAAGAGGTGCCATCTGTCTACACAGGTAGTCTGAGGCCTAGGACATCCATTCAGTAGTCGTCACTTGACGGTTGTGTCGCCATAGCCGTGGCAACTACCGGTCGCCGTCCTATCACCCATACGATTGCGACAGCAGACTCCGTTCCGCCTCATCTGCTCTTCAATTCCATCAGTAGTCCGCTTCTGTTTACGGGTTCTTCTCACCACGATCATGTCGAACCAGCAGGTGGTGAGTGCTATCTGCGAGAGTGCTCCTTCGGAGTTGCGACATCACCCTGCCCTTCTCCATCCTTATTCCTTCCCCAGACTCTGTTTCCCATCGTGTTGGATCACTCTTGGAATTTGGCTGATACCAGGTGATATAGGGCACGGTGTTTGATCGTGTCATCCAAGAGGTGTGCGATGCATCCCAGGTTGATTTCGAAGAGAGCGGAGTGGATCAGCAGACGTTGCTGGATCTGAGAAAGGTGAGGGCCAGCATTGTGTTTCTTTTCCCTCCTCTTTTCATTTTTCGTCTTTTTTTTCGACTTTATCTTTTCACCACCATATACTTTGGCGATGAAAGTCCTGGACGGCGAGCAAGCACGCAAGGGAGCGATGATGCGTTCCCAGGCTGGCCAAGCGGGGTCTGGAAAAAGCGGGAGGCGGTGCGGCATCTCTGGGGGAACCGCCTGCTTTTGAGTCTCTTTTATACCGTGCCGCTTTTACCCGCTGCTGCCTTAGGCTGCCAAGGCTGCCCCTTCTATAATTATCCTCCATATACATCCTCACTATACACCTCTGCTCATCGCCCAACCCCACACTCCACTCGTTGAATTCTCAACTCTAACACATTTTCAGAGCTGGCAAGCAAAACTTTCTTCCCTCGGCGTCGCCCATTTTCCGTGGGATCCTGCCCCCCAGCCCAACAACCCCCCGCAAACCCAAAATCAACCCCCCGCCCAGACTCCGACTCAACCTCAGAACCAAAATCCTATCCTCCCTCCTACCGCGACCGTCCCCTCTAACGCCCCTCGGCCTGCCGCATCTCAACCTCCGCAACAGCATGTCCCTCCCCAGCAGCCCTTACCACAGTCAATGCCGAGCACGGCACCTCCCCTACAGGCGCCCACTCCAGTCAGCGCGGCTCCCATGGGACAGGGTCCTCATATTAAGACGGAACCTGGTTTGAATGCCCCTGGCATGCCACAACTCAACATGATGCCGGGAAACCCTCAAAATTCCCAATCCGCCCGCGAACGGGCTGCGAACATGCTGCACCAGAAGTATGGCGCGGCTGCAGCCAACTCCGTCAGTCAGCTACAGGCCCAACAGGCCCAACAGGCCCAGTCCCACTTGAACATGGGAATGCCTGGTCATCCCGGCCAGCCCGGCCAGCCCGGCCAACCCGGCCAACCGCGCCCCCAAAACATGCCGCAGATGCCCAATGGCCAACCCCAGATCAAGCAGGAACCGGGCTACCCGCCGATGCCGCAACACCCAGTGGGTAACTCCCAAACAGACGGCGCGGGTGACGACGCGCTATCAGACTGGAAAGCGGAGGTCGCGCGACGGCGGGCAGCGGCGCAACGTCAGGGTGGAGAAGGCGATCGTCTGCTCCGTGAACACGTGAACCAACGCATGCTGCAGATGGAGGGAGGTGGTCTTTTACTGCCACTGGACCAGAAGCGGTCCGCGGGACCTTCGGCGCTGGATGCCATGACGACAGCGACTAGAGGTTTGGAGCTCGATGAGGATCCATCAGCTGGACCATCCAAGACCATGCCACGGGGACAATTCGACGGACCGGGTGGCGACGACGAGCAGGAGGAAGACGACGAGGACGCCATCAACTCCGATCTCGACGACCCGGACGACTTGGTCGCTGAAGATCATGATGCGGAAGATTCAATGGGCCAGGTCATGCTCTGCACGTATGACAAGGTTCAACGGGTTAAGAACAAGTGGAAGTGCACGCTGAAGGATGGCATTTTAACCACGGGTGGAAAAGAGTGAGTTTTCATCAATCTTTGAGGGGTATAAAGCTAACAGCACTAGATATGTGTTCCACAAAGGCCAGGGAGAATTCGAGTGGTAGACTGTCATCTTACCCACGGTCACCCTTTCCTACAACTGAACTGTACTCTTTACGCTTCTGATATCATTTGTTGTGTAAAAACTTATTTCCCCTCAAAACATAAAGCCAAATAAAGAAAGCTCGACTTTGCCCGCATGACCATGCAGCAAGTTTGACATCCAATCTCACGAAAAAAACCCGTCTGGCTAGGACTATAATAGTGGAAGCTATACCCGACCAGACTACATATTCTTATCACGTGAATTCATTCTTCAGACAACATGCTCTGCATTTATTTTCTTCTTTTCATTATTTTCTTGTTCATGCACTTGGGGCGCACATGGCGCTATGCGGGCGGGTGGCTGAATACTGCTTTTCCACTGACTGACTGCTCTCCTACTGGATTCACTTACCAACAATTTGATTCGAGAAACGATAATCCAGTGTGCCAGCGTAGAATATGTAGGTACATACGTATCAAGCCAACAACCACGTAGCCACCTCGGATATATATGATTATGGTTGATCCCTACCAGCTTCTACAGCAACCCCAGACTTGAATTGACCCAGTCGGAATGCAGAGACATCAATATAACACAGGTAACCAGACAAGGTATCACAACGGCGGACTTGGAGAACAACTAACTAGGAAACACATGATCATCACCCTACTACACCTTACATAGTGAGCAGTAGACGGGTAGGTAAGCAGGGAAGCACCCCAAAGACTATAAGACCCTCTAGCTTATTCTTCCCAGCTTCTACCATCTCTCGAAGGCACTACTTAGTAAGTAGTACAGGAAACCCATATGATTCTAGTACAAATGAAATACAACCACAGATTCTAGGATAGGTCTTTCATAGATGGTGAAGTATACAGGTGAATAGATTTCAATATCCTTCACGGTTTACTTTTAAGTACATAACTAACTAGTCACTCTTCACTGAATTTTTCAGTAACTTATCAAAGTAGAGCTAAACACAGGGTCACTATTTATTTATACTTTTTTGTTTCTTTGGAGAATATCATATTCTTATATCTCGGTTATAGATAGATTATAGTTTCTTTTTCTACAGGGGAGATGGTATATATGAATTAGTTGTAACATTCAATCAGCAAACTGGTCACAGTAGAGAGATCAGCAGAAATCAATGTTACATAACTAGATTAAGGTTATAAATCTTATCTTGCCCCAAGTATGTTAACACAAAGTTCGAAAAACAACCATAATCTTATCTCGATCCAAGTATAGACAAATATTACAAAATCCCCAATTCCGAAACACATACATACCAACAGTCCCATCCAAATACCAAACAATATCATTATATTATCCACCCATTCATCATCCATCTTCCTCTCCACCCTCCCCACCCAAAAAGAAAAGATAAGCAACAGTGGCAAAAACTTAATCCAACCGATGACGGCACCCAACCAACCCACCAAACTCTATCCCCCAGCCTTACAGAGCCAACCTCTAAGAAGGGAAAGAGAGTGTGAGTGTGGGCTAGAACATTCCGGAATGATTAGAAGAAGAAAATGCCCACATGCAATGGATACATGCGAGCCGTGGTTTCGGGTCTCCCGTCATGATGTAATAGTGTGGTGATTCCGGAGTTGGGGAGGTTTGGGTGACCCCGGGTGGTGGGTGGATTGTGTTTTACCGTTGTTCTGGTTCGGGGATATATTCTGTGAGTCTGTATGGAGTACGGAGATAGTATATAGTGAGGAGGGTAGATCCTACGTAGGTAATATATACGAGGTAATACATACGCAGGTGATAGATAATAAGTAGAAGAGAGAAGAGTAGATAGCGAGATGAAGCTTCTAAGCTTACTAGAATAAAACCAATCAATCTGATAAAAATGAGTCCAACTTTTTTGTTTTTGAATAACAAAGCAAAGCAAAGCAAAGCCAAAGGCATGGGAATCAAAATCGCACACAAAAAGACGAAAAAGGAAAAAACAAATCTATCAACATAGCTTCGCAGGGAGACAAAAGTCAAATCCAGAAAAGCAAACAAACACCGATTTCCGTCAACACCGCCGGTGAAAATAAAGCAACGAGCAAAAGCAAAACGGAACCAATCAAAAGGGGGGGAAGAAAGAAAGAAAAAGGGAAGAACCAAGCCAGCAGAACCAGCCTGAACGAACATCGTCTATCAAAGAGTTGACGCCAAACCCGGCATGCTCACTCCCCCTTCACAGTTGAAGAGGAGAAAAAGACGAAAGATGCTTCAAACATGATACCCAGTGTTGCACCAATCCTAACCTATCCTATCCTTGTTGCTGTTGCTTTTCATATGTCGATCCGATCGCGTTCAGTCATTCGCATCAGAAACCCGTGTCGTCTGTCTTACCGGCGGTGATCCACACGCGGGTTTTAAGAAGGATATGTATGAATGAGTCTCAGACAGAGAAAGAGAAGGAACCGTGCGCCTCTAGGAAGCGGATATTCGTGAACGAATAGAAGAGAAAGAGCTGTAGTGATAAACAACCGAAACTCTCATACCGGCGTCTCATACCGAAATCCCACCTGTATGGATTCGGGAGGCCTTCAAAGGGGACGGACTTATTAATAGACCCAAACCCGCGGGCTGTTGATATGACATTCACACCAAAGAAAGAAAGAAAAAGGAAGAAAGAAAATCGAAACTCCAAATCACTGAACCATCATCATAAATCGTAGTCGCACAACGGGCCGTCGGAATCAATCGAATCGAATTATGTGGGATGAGAAAACAGTTCAAAAGACGAAGGAAGAAGCGGCTATAACAGTCCCTCTTCACCAATCCCGGGGAGGCCAGCCCCGGCCACGTTGATGTTCTGTCCCTGCATGACTCCGCCGGCGAACAGGTGGCGACCCGCGGCGAGCTGGAATTCGGGATTACACGGCGGCGAGTGCGATTTGTGGTATTTGAGACCGTTCAAATTCTTGTAGCGCTTGCCGCACACTTCGCAGCGATACGGCTTCTCTTTCTCCATTCCCAGAGTGCCGGGATACGGCGCCGAGGTCTCGGGGTTGACGATCGAAAAAGTTCCATCGGCATTGTCGTGCAGCTGCTGGTTGTTGTGGCCGTGCTGGAGAATGTCAGGTCAGGAAGCATACGAATGTGGTAGAATGGTAACTTACAGCCTTGTGGTATTTCAACCCGTTCTGGTTCTTGTAGGCCTTTTCGCAGCCGATCACAGGGCAGCGGAAGGGCTTGGGCTCCTCGTTCGGAAGCAACGCCGTGGTGTCGGGCACCCCGGCCAGCAACTGCTGTTCGCGTATGCGACGGGCGATCTCGCTGTTCGCACCGTACTGGGCACCGCTGAGCTTGAAATGGACGTTGGGGGAATTCATGCCGCCCGTGGGACTGAACAGGCGCTTGGCCGGCTCGTCGATGCACAGGTCGACCATATCGTTGTTGCTGGTGAACCGAGCGAACTGGGGCTGACCCTGCATCATCAGGGGGTTTTGCATCGACAGATCGCCAAATCCACCGACCACGCTTTCGTCGATCTCGGCCGGCGTGCCAGGGGCGGACGAGTCCGGTGTGGCGCGGAATTGCGAGTTCTGCAACGGGTTCGCCATTAAAGTCGGGGTGTTGACCGACGAGACGGTGGGGTTGTTCTGCAGCGACAGAGGGCGATTCGAGCCCACCGGCGTCCCCGGCTGAGACCCCTTGAAGCCCTGATGACTCGGAAGCATGGACAGGTTCAAGTTCGGAACCCGCTGGTTGCCGTTTCCGAACCCGTCCTGATTCCCGTCGTGCGCCTGCGGGGTAAACAGCTGCGACGAGGCATCGGCGTCACCCATGGCCTCGTCGAGCTCCATGTCGTCGATGGTGTCGAGATCCGCGTGTTGCTGCGAGGGCGGGTTCTGGTTCAACTTGCGGTGCATGTCGATCGTCCGGTCCGGTTGCATTCCACGGGTCTGGTTGCCATTCTGCTGACTCTGCTGCTGTGCGAGGGCCACCGCGATGGCCGCGCGGTTGTCCCCTTGGCTGGGGCGGTGTCCTCCCGGCTGTAACGACTTGGTGGCGTGAGCTTCCTCGTAATGTTGCAGCAGGTCGTGGAGGGTCGGGAGGGTCACGCCACAGCAGGAGAAATCGCGCATGAAGTTGGCTTCCAGTTTCGGTAGGTAGGATGACGAGTGGAACGAGGGGGACTGAAACGTAGCAAAGGGCGAAGTACCGGTCATGATGATACTGCGAGAATTTCCCTGTTAGCCTGCCTGTCTGCGGCGTCATATGGCGACAAATCCTCCAAGACAATACACACACACAAACACAAAAA